CACTGGGTGTTATACGCAAACAATGAATCATGGAACACTACATCAAAACTAATGAAGTACTGTATGGTGACTTACATAACATAATAAAAAAAATAAATAATAAAATAAAAATGCTTTTTAAGTATAGTTTTAAACAGTTGTTCTCAGCTGGGAATGATTTTGTCCTCCAGGGGACATTTGTCAATGTCTGGAGACATTTTTGTCACAACTAGGGGGTGCTACTGGCATCTTAGAAGTCAGGGACACTACTAAACATCCTACAACACACAGGACAGCCCTCCACCACAAAGAATTTTCTAGCCCAAAATATCAATAGTGCTGAGTTTAAGAAACCCTACTTTGGAATCAAGCATGTGCAATTGATTTTGTTTATTTTAATAAGTATATATTGATCAATAATTAATTGATGGTTAATTTATTAATTATCACTTTACTAATGAAAGCAAAGTAGTCTATAGCTCCTTCCTCAAGTGTCAGCCTCAGTCCAGATTTTTTCCAATAATTTCCTCTGATTGTGCTATCTACTGATGAAAGTTGATTAAGTTTACTATCATTTGGAGGGAAAGAAAATCTAATTTCTTTCAAATATGATATTTTGACAGATTTACTGAATCTTTATTATAATCTTAGCATGTAAGGTATTCCAAATCTGGGTATACTGAATCACTTGATGGTTTGCCTGAGAGACTGCCTCAAAGTGTGAATCCTGTCGGGTCATGGAGCAATTCCCAGTTTTCCAAATACCTTCCATCTGTTATCCCATTCCATCCTTGCACAATTCAAGTGGGCTTGTTTTATGATCCTTGTTTCATAAATAAGTAAACTGAGGTTCAGTGACAAGTTTAAGTCAAGGTCAAGTACCTCGACCAAAGTCCTATGGCAAATATCCAGGCCTCTGGACTTCACCTCTGGTGCTGTCTCCTCCACTGAATGTGCCCACAGGCTGGAAAATCACCCTGATTCTAGGCAAAATTTGCAAATGTTCAAAGTTGTCTTGCTGCTCTATGAGCAGCTCTATGACCTGCCCTCATATTTTAGGCTCCTCACCCACTCATGTGCCCCAAGCCCTGGCACATCCCCAAATGCACAGTACCTCTTGAGTTGAACCACCCTAATTTATTTAAACCAGACCCACCTTCCAACATCATCAAAACAGAATGTCAACTGGGGAAATGAGTGATTGACCATAGGACAAGAGAATGAATGTCTATGTGTTAATCAGCTCCCATGTTCCTCAAAGAAATGCCCCAAACAGCACAGCCCAGGGTGACCTGCCCTGAGCACAGAATCTCTTTGGAAACCATTTATCTTCAACAGTCACATAGAGTTTTATTTCCAAGTTACAGTACAATCATATTTATCACAATATGAAAACAGGCATTTAAAATACTCCACATAAGGTAATGTTGGTTACCTGAGATGCACCTTGGAAGATGCACTTGTCTGGCCTGCAGGAGTTCCCAGCCCCAGGGGAGGACACCTAAACAAACCAACCCTAGTTGAGTGTATTGGGCTACTCCTGAGCATAGAGTTTAGACTAAAATGTCTGCATTTCAACGAATGTTGAAAATAGTAAAAGGTCTTTCCTTCCAAGCCTCCTTTTTGGAATAACCACATAGAGCCCAAATTCCAGGCTGACCTTTTTACTGGGGTCATAGCAGTGGGACAACAACTGGTCCTTCCAGAAAGCGCAGGGCCTTCCAGAATGTTTGTCATCTTTGATAGACTTCAGTTATATTCAACTTTCTTTTCTTTCTCATAGAATATGAACATGAAACTTCAGGAGCTTTTGGTAAGAATCACACTGCAGTATATCTTTAAGGGAACCTCCCCCAAATGTCCCCAATCCTCTGATTTTATAACACAACCCATTGTGGAAGTGGGGAGGGGCAGAAGACAAATAATGAATTTAATCAAAAGAACTCAACAAAAGAAAGGAAAAAAAAAGTAGCTTCTCTGCTTTGACTATGGTACAGAGGAAGCATTTTCTCCCAAACTGTTTTGTTCTCGTTGCCTAAATGTATTTAAGAAAATTATGGAGTGAGGATATGAATATGATTTAATAAATTGCCATCCAAAGACATAATTGAACTAAAATTATACTAAAGAAAATCCTAACTTCAGACTTCCAGCAAATTCAGAAATGAATGGAGAAAAGCTCACCGTTTCTGGTTAACTTGGACCCTACAACACCTTTCTTCCTTAGAAGTCTCTTAATGAGCCAGAGGAATACACTTCTATAAGCACCTGACCCTTCTGCCTTTCTGGCAGAAGGCATGTTCCCACAAAGGATCCAGTTTAAAAGAACAATGTGTGAGTGACTCTGAGCTGCCCAAATACATTATCACTTCTCACGTGCCACTGATCAGAACCAACCTATCAAATCCAGTCCCCAAATCACGCTCTTAGCTCAATGTCTACTCCATGAGGCTGCCCTTAGCTCAGTGTCTGCCCTGGGACCCCACCATGTACATGCAATGCTCCCCAGTAAATTTGGGTGGATTCTTTGGGATGGCAATGACACCTCATTTCTTCCTCTCTGCTCTTAGATGCTGAGATCCTAACACCATTCCCTGGTGGTGAGTCAAGGTTTTCTACCTCTTCATTTCATGTGGTTTGGTAGGTCATGTGCTACCAAGCAGAATGATTCCATCTGGGGATCTACATGCATTCACCTCATTCATAAACCTCTGCTGTTTTTTAATGAACTGGGGAAGCCTCTGCCTCCTCCCATCCTTCTTTGTCTACTTAGCTCCTTCCTACTCTTTGTCCAAGACTCGGGTCCGCAATCACTCCTTTGAAAAGATATCCTGGGACCCCACCCCATATGCACTCTCAAAACATTGCAAACATCTCCCGCTTTGCTTCTGAGAATTTAGCATAGTTGTAAATCTAAACTTAATTTGGGATTAATGAGATTACTTCCTCCAGTCTCCGCAAATTAGACTCTAAACTCTGTGACAGCAAAACCAGGTCTGTTCTATGAACCATAATACCTGCAGTGACCCGGTGCATGCTCCAGAAATACGTGTTGAACAGTTAAACAAATGGGTTAATGCAGAATGTGTTCCTTCTCCTAACATGTACTATTTTTGCATCTTTGAAAGATTGGCCACAATTGCGACTAGTGAATGGGTCAGGCAGATGTTCCGGACGTGTGGAAGTTTTCTACCACGGCCAGTGGGGCAGGGTTTGCGATGACCGCTGGGACATGAACGAAGCTGATGTGGTGTGCCGGCAGCTGAACTGTGGCCGTGCCCTCGCAGCCCCTGTCAAGGCTCAATTTGGTGAAGGAGAGGGCCAGTTTCTGCTGGATGATGTGGACTGTACAGGAAGAGAGAGTTTCTTGGGACAGTGTCCTCATACCAACTGGTCCCTCCATAACTGTGGTCCTAGGGAAGATGCCAGTGTCGTCTGCTCAGGTAATCGTCCCCTCTCCCTCCGAGGGTGCCCATCTCATTAAGCAGATGGCATCTCCACTAATCCCCTCAGTGACGCTTGCACCAGTGTAATCATAGACTGTCTCCGACCACATGTATGAGCCAAAAGTAAAGAAGCTTTGGTAATTCTAGACCTTCACTTTGAGCTCAGGAATTTCCAGCCACAGGATGTTGAAATGGATTTTTTTTATTTTTTTTAATTTAATTTAA